GAAAGGTCCAGGTTTGACTTGATGAATTTTTTGTAAATAAAACTGATAAGTTAATAAATTAAAACTTTGTGAGTGGGAGACTTTAAAAGTCAGAAGTTGGTTTGTTTATACAGCACATACAAATATACATTAATTTAAAAGTCAAAATGTTATCAAAACTCAATGAAAACTTTATAGGATGTACGCAATAAATGCTTGCTCAATTTTGGAAAATATAGTTTCATTTGATAACCAGAATTCATACAAAAAATAATACATGTACTTGTTAAATACTTATTTGTTTGTTTATTTTAATTATGTAATATATTATATCTAAACACGATTGTATTGGAAATCAGCCCTAGGTTGTATGCATTTCGTGTCTAAATTACAATACTGTAATAAACTAATTTTATCATTAACATAATTCTATTGAAATATTTTTAAATATTTTAAAACTACTTTTCAAAATTGGTGCAAGCATAACTATTTGTGCACAATGAGTAAAGTAATATTTTAAATTAAATACAATTTTTATAAAAAGTCTTAGTATACTAAACTTATTAATATAAAAACATTTTAATATAAATAAACAATAGTAAATAAATAATAATCAATATAATATCAAACCTAAATAAATGGTTCACCAATTTTATTTTACGTTGATTAGTTTATATTATTTACTCAATATAATAATAATAATCTTTTATTTAATCGAACTCGTGATTAAAATACAATTTGATTAATCAAATTTAAAATTACATAAAAAATAATTTTCACATGAATTTATAAAAATATTTTGATTATATTTATATCTCACAGAAAGTGGTAATGAATTAAACAAATTTATGTAATCAATGTAAATATACTGAAAGCACGAGTTGTTTTATTGATTTAAACGCAAATACGCCTATTGCTTTAATAATTTTATTTAGCATAAATAAAATTAATTTATTAGATTTTATGATTGAAAGAGAGTAATTTATAAGTCGTATAAAATTATCTATTATATAATATTATAAATATTTTGGAGCTATGTCTATTTATGAAAATTTTTCCTTTGATAAGTTGTATAGATATAATGTTTTCCCTTATATTTATGTCAAACCTGATATAATATATAATTGTTTAAATACTAATAATAGTGGTATGACTAATAGAGATATTAATTTAATATATGGAATGGTAATATATACTTAAATTTCATTAAATTATATTTAATATACAGTAACATATATGCAACTATTCTGTGTAGTACCATTTGTATGGCTTACATTTATCTGTAATTAAATACCTTGCGTGTAATTTAAATCTGAGTATTGGATTTACGCTAGGATTTGACAAGGTAAGATTATTTATTTTGACCATAATAGCGTATATTTATTTCTAACTGTACCAGATAATGACAGCGTTGGCAAAATCATTTTCAATAATATTTTTATATTACAATTTCACTGGTGTTTCATCGGACGACATGCATATCATTAATATAATTTGTGGGGTAAAGCAAAACAATGATAACTCATATTATGTTTTTATTAAACTATTTGATAATAAGGTAAGTTTTTTTAAATATTAATTAATTATACAGTATCAACGTTATGTATTTATTAAGTGCCAAGTTTAAGTACAACTAGTACATGAAATTGAATATAAAATTACTTTAGTATACTTTAGTGAAAGTAACTTTAATATTTGTATTGAAACAGATCATTTTATGGAAATAATATGATTCATATTAATTTTATATTTAAAATCTTAATATAGACTTGGTTAAATATACTAATATCAGCACTAATAATATCAATGTTAATCGTTAATTTCACAAGAATTAAAATAACAATAGTAGATTCACTTGGTGAAATGCTTAAAATAATGATAAACCAATCTACCACAATCTATTCAACATCAACAAATATTAAAACAAAATACTGGTATTTATTTTACATATGGATATTCAGTGCCTTGATCATAAGTCAATCGTTTGCTGGCTCATTATTAAACTCGTATTTTAATATAAAATCAATTCCCATAATAAATACATTGCAAGATATTGTTACTAATAATGATATGTATGTATTAACAGTACCTAAGCTTTTAATGGAAATTTCGAAACAACAACCCGAATATAAAAAAACATTTACCAAGCTAATTGCAAAACATGAAAAATATGAACAAGCTCTAAATAGTAGGCTTAATAATGGTGAAACATTTCTTAGGATAAATACGCTTGACAATATTATAAATGGTAAACTTGTGGCTTTAACTAATGATTATGTGTTTAAGAAATTTAACAGGGTATTTAAACAATATTCAAATCGGTACATAGTAAGCGAGCACAAATATTTTAACGATATTACTTATTATATTGTGGCTAAAGGTCATAAATACAATCAAATTCTAATGAAAATGTAATTTATGATTCATACCTAATTTTACTTGATACAACTTAATATTTTTTATTTGCAAGGTATACAAGATTTGGTGAAGCTAAATTGGACGTTTACCATGATACAATAGATGAAATTTGGGAAAATAGACTTTATAATCCTTATAATATATCAAGGTCTAGTAATATTAATTATAATGAAAATAAAACAATTTTATTAAGTGACATGATAATATTTTATGTAATGTTACTTGGATATTTTATATCAATTATTATTTTAATAATTGAAGTCAGCATATTAAAAATTGTAAAATATATTGTTCAAAATGTGTTATCAAATATAAGTACAATTAATTAGCATTACACAAAAAATAAAAATTTTATAATCAATAAGTATGTAAATATAAATTAACATAATAAACATTACATAATAAGGTTAACGTCCAACTATAAAGATAAAATTTTTAAACCATAAAATATATATTAATTCAATAATAACTGACATCACGGATACAATATTGCCAAACATATAAACAATAAAAATTGTCTGAAGTTTTTTCATTTTCAACACTTTGCTTTTGCGTCCAGTACCAATATCTGCCTGATAGTTAATTAGTTGGGTGAACCAAAAATCGATTATTCCACCACTGTTCAATCTAGATAATCTATTAATGTATAAAAATAAAAACATTTTAATAAACATCATACTATGAATTCTATCAATTTACCAACGTACATTTTATTAAACCGATTTTTCATTTTGAAACCCTTTTGCATAGCTATTGCTTCTAGGTTAACGTAAAATGTGGTGTCTATATTGTCCGGGGGCAGTGTAAACCTTTGTAGTTTATATGTGCTAATTAAATATTCCAGATGGTGCCTCCTATTTATATACGAATACACTTTTGCATTGTTGTTTATATGTCGATTCAGCATGGACATATTTGCTATTTGCGATTGGTCGTATACCTCGACCAACGATCCAATTTTATGTTTAATACTTCTACTATTATTCTGAAATATATAAACATGATTTAAAAAGGTCAAATTAAATATTTGTCATTAAATAATATAAAATTTCATAAAATATATTTCAATTTAATATAAAAAATAAATAATACCACAAATAAATTATAGTAGATTGTAGTTCTAGGTACAATTACAGTTATGTCTTTGTTAATGATCGCGGTATGAAAATCATTGATATTTTCAATCTTGACTTCCCGAGGTATTGCTATTAATGAGTATATACAGCCACCGGATGCCGTGTCTAATATAATGCAAGCTAGTAGCCAGGTTAAAATAACAATTTTCATAGATATACTTTTAACATGCATTATGGCAATTGACTGCTTTAATAGCATTGCGATTATATTGACATAATTAAATTGTTTGTGCTTAAAATTATATAAAACTGTTAAATTATATAATAGTAATAAAAATGCCAGTAATAGTAGCCAGGTCATTGTGTCAAATATATCAAATAAATTTAAAAAGTGTTTATGTTTTGGCAATGGAGTCGTGAACGTAATCTTATCAGTCATATAAGGATACGTGAAGTCAATAGCTTTTTGCCGGTCGTAGGTCATTGAAATGGCACCAATACCAATGTCAGCTTGCTACAAATTTAAAAGTTATGTTTTGTACAATAGAAAAATAATAGAAAATACATACATTTTTCTGGATCATGCCAATAAGATCCGTCCATTTATTATCAGGCAACTTTAGGCCCCAGCTCCAATTACAATCCACGATGTCGTAGGTGAAATTTAAAATGCTCTGGATTGTTTTGATCATGTTAACTTCAATCCCTTTATAAAACTCGAGTTTATTTGTTTTTGAATCATTAAATAGATATACCCGTGGTGGAAACTGTAATTTTTATAAAATATTATACGTGGGTTTAAATTATTTTGAAAATATTATTTTTAGATTTATTTAGATTAACTGAGACTATACAATTTTCTAAAATTTAAGTTAAATATTTAAAAGTTTAAATAAAAATGTTTAAGGTAACTTTTACAAAATAACTGTTTAGCATACATTATTTGCTGCAATTATTATATGATTTTGTATATGATCCATTTAAAAATATGGGAAATAAAATAATTATTTTTACATAATTTCAATAGCTCATATATTTGATTAATTTTGTATTATAATATGTAACACAAATAGATGAATAATTTTTCTATTCAATAATATTAATATTTATAAACCATTTGTTATCTTATTATTGATTATAGTATTTATAATTTATTTCCAAATAAAATATTTCATATTCAGAATATTATACTACAAAAAGTTGCTAAAAAATTTTGTAATGTTAAATAATTCACTGTCATACACTTAGCAATGCAGTTTAATTGTAAAGTCAGATAAAAAAAACATAAATTAATATATTTATTTTAATTATTTATAAAGCTAGGTCAGTTTATCACTTATAAGCTCATGATTATGTAATATATTTTAATCACCTATATAAAATTATGTGCTAAAACCTCATACAAACCTCATGTTATTATATTTCTGTGAATTTAGATTAGTTAGTGCATGTGCACATATATAATCAGATTATTTCCATGGTGATATATTGTACAACAAATTTTTATTACTAATTGCAATTATTATTATTTTATATAAATAATTTCATATAATTGATAAATTAGTTAGTTATGCCTGTTAATTTTAAACTAACTTAATTGAGAGTTATAAGCTATTAAATTTATTGTAATATATTTGTTATAAAATATGAGTGACCTAGCTAATTATGAGATAAAATGTGTGGTTTGCGGAGACAGAGCTATTGGTATGTATAACAATATTATATTGTTAAATATTTTAATTAAAATTACTTTTAAAAATAATGTAGGTGAAAATTATGGCGCCTATACGTGTCACTCGTGTAAATCATTTTTCCGGCGACAAGTCACTACAAACAAGGTCTGTTTTAAATGTTTATAATTACATATTATAAATATTAAACTAGTAACATTTTTCTAGGAATTACTTTGTCTTCGCAAAAATAATTGCGATATTAACTCCAATACTAGAAAGTTGTGCAAAAAATGTCGCCTGGTCAAGTGTTTTGCTATGGGAATGAAAATTGTATGTATTGTTAAACATGTTTAATTTTAAAATATTAATAAATAATCACTTTCTCTCTCTCTCTCTCTCTCTCTCTCTCACCCACATTAGGATGTGATCGTAAAGAATCATATGTTAAAAGTGATAAGAAATAAAAAACAACAAAATAATAACAAACAAAATGCCAACAAATATAACACTCAACTCCCGGACTCGACCACACCTTCAACTCTAACCCTTGAAAGCAATTCATGGGATACTAACGACTCAAATACTACTTTCCCAACAAATAGTCCAACTATTGTTGACAATGATAGCAATGATACTAAACCTGATATCAAACCTATTATTAATTATAATAATGAAATGACTAGTGATTTGAAAAATTTACAGACAATTAGCATAACACATATGGATAGTACTATATCAGGGGAACGGGCACTTTCTATCATACCTGTCCACAGACCGCTTATGGACTACAAAAATCAATTGAATGAATTAGAGGGCTATAGATTGAGTGAACTGTTAACGGCTACGACAGTATTCACCGAAACTTGCCTAGGACATACACATAATGAAATAGGGTTTAATGATCGAGAGTTGATAATCGCACCCAGGTTTGAACGTCAAGTCAGAAATATGATCCAGATGTGCAAAGGGTTAACCCATTTTCAAGGTCTGTGCGAAATTGATAGGGTCAACTTAATTAAGCATGGTTGCATTGAGATATACCACATGCGGTCATTGAGTTACTATAATATTGCTGATACTTATTGGACCATAGTTATGGTATGTAACAAAGTATTTATCAAAAAAATAAGCAATTAATTTTAAAAATATTTATATTTTGATTTGCTTGCTTTACAAATAATACAATATTTTTATTATTATATCACGTGTGCATAATTTATAATTAATTATATATCAATACATTTATTTTTAATAATTAGGAAAATAAATACTCAGCAAAATATATGTTGGAGACCATGAGATATACACCACGAAATGTATACACTATGTACAGACTATTTCTTTACAAAATTGCTAAGGACTGGAATTATGACCCTGTTATTCTGGATTTGGTACAATTAATTAAGCATTCATGTTAAAAGCATTAGTAAATATATTTTGTAATTACAGTTAACCGCAATCGTATTATTTAACCCAAATCGGTTGAACCTAATTAATAGGGATGTCATAAAGTATGCATAAATTTGTTCATTTATTAAGGTAGTTAATTTTTTATAATTTTTATAATTAGGTTACAACAACACACTTACGTTTATTTACTGCGACGGTATTTAATTCTAAAATATGGCGATAATAGGGAATCGCATGTTAAGTGTATAAGACTTTTAAATAGTTTATATCATTTGCACGTATTATCGCTGGAATTGATGGAAACGGACCGCAAAGTACTGTTACCCTATCCATTGATGCGTGAAATATTTGCTTGATCATTGCTAATGAGCCGGTACAAGGGCTTTCAAATGTGATCTTTATAGATCATATAGTAATTCGTAAGATAAAAACTAGGTTAGCCTCATCTAATATTTTTATTGTATTAAAATATAATTTATGTATTTTATTTTATAATAATGTTAGTAAAATTATTTTTAAGATTGTAAAAATGTATTTAATGTTAATATAAAAATTTTATCATGCTGGGCACATAATTAAAAGTCTGCTAAAAATTAATTATCCGCCAACTATAATACCACTTATTATAATTGCATAGTATTTTTTTAAAATGTACATAAGTATACATATTTGTTGAATGACCCTGTGCTATTATCTAATAAAAATCTGATAAACCTCTCTGATATTACTTTAAAAATTTACTTTCACTGTATGCTTTGGTACATTCACAATAATAAGTATTGTTTAAATATTATCACGTCAGTTTGGCTCTAAATTGCACTAAATTCAAAATATTAATTTATCAGAATCAAATATATATTTTTAAAATGTATAAATAGTTGTTGGGTTGTTTAATACATGTAACATAGTAAAGTATTTTTCACACAATTATTAAAAAGAAAGTGCAAATTGTTTACACATTTAATAATATAATGCCAATTGACCTGTATTATTTTCGCTTTAGTGGCCCCTCCCGGGCCATATTAATGACTGTCCGCCAACTGAATCTCAATGTAAACCTCAAACACGTAGACCTAACGGAAGGGGAGCAAAATAACCCGGAATTTTTAAAAGTATTTAATTAATATCAATGATCAATATTTAAATAATAAATGTATTAATTTTTATTGCATTTAGATTAACCCAGGTCATGAGGTACCGGTGATCATCGATAACGGATTCACTTTATGCGAAAGTCGTGCTATCATGCAATACCTGTGCAACGCGTACGCGTCCGACAGCGCCCTATACCCCACCGAACCTAAGGCGCGGGCACTTGTAGACCGGTGGCTGTACTTTGATAACCTGTTGTACTCTGGCATCAATAGTCTCTTGGTAAAATTATTACTTAATTTATGCGATTATAATAAAAATTATTAAATAATTTTTTTTAAATTAAAAATTTTAAAAATAGAGAACGAAATCTATTTATGGACTCCAAGTGCCCGAAGAGACTCATAATAATTATAAGAAAAACCTAAAACTTATTGACCAATTAATCGGCGATAAGCCGTACCTAACGGGGAATGGGTTAACACTGGCAGACCTAACCCTTTTGGCCACCACTGCCAACATTGAATGGTACGAAGACTTTGATTTTAATGAGTATCCAAATTATAGGGACTGGAGTTTCCGACTCAAGTCAGCGCTACCCTATTATGAAGAGATTAATGGTATTACAAAGGAGGACAGGGATGCAAAAAATTTGAAATTCAAAATCAGATTTGAATCATTGAAAAAGCAGTAAATTTTAATGATTTTTAATTGATTTACTAAATAATTTTAAAAATGTGTTATAAAACATTGATTTAATAAATAATTATTTATTTTCATTCAAAAAATGTTTACAATATTAAATATGTTTATCTTAAATGTACAGGTATATCTTATACCAAACATTATGAATAATTTTAAAAATGTGTTATAAAACATTGATTTAATAAATAATTATTTATTTTCATTCAAAAAATGTTTACAATATTAAATATGTTTATCTTAAATGTACAGGTATATCTTATACCAAACATTATGCTGCTAGTGTACTTGTCAGGGTTATTCATTGAGATAAATATTGCATTTAAGAAATATAATTTGATGAAATAATAATGCGTGAAAATATTGATTTTTTAATATAATGATTGTAAAATTACAATGTACAATTTAATATGCAACCTGAACAATGGGTGATACTACTATAATAAATTCATTATCTAAACATGCTAAATGTGTAATTTGTGGTGCGAGAGCTACAGGTATACAAATAAATTATAATTATTGTATTATTGTTATAGTAGTATAATTTGTATGTAAATAAAAGTATTTGTCACTTTATATATTTTCAAGTACATTTGATATATTTTCTAATTTGACATTTAAAATGTATTTTAATTCATAGGCAAAAATTATAACGCTACAACCTGTCAGCCATGTAAAATATTTTTCAGACGTAATGCTACTAGCAACAAAGTACATACTACAAATATTTTTTAAAAATTAAAATTCACATTTAATAACATTATTATTAATAATTTATATAGATGCTAAAATGTGCTGGTCAAAATAAGTGCGAAATAAATGTAAAAATACGGATTAATTGCAAAAAGTGTCGACTAGATAAATGTTACGCCATTGGAATGAAAACTGTATGATATATTATACAAATTAATTAAAATAAATTAATTTACCTTGCTTTGTCTCTTAATAAAGGATACAATAATTAAAAATAAGAATAAGAAAAATCAAACAAAATTACAAAACAAACCATTGGATAGTAATACACCGGATATATCGTCACAATTATCTATTCATAGGCATTCATACCCTAATGAAAACAATACTAACCACATGACTACTATAAACGTATACACTTGCCCTGATACAAATAATGGACATCGGGATCAGTTCTTATCTGTCATACCTATCATTAGACCGCTAATAGACTACAGAAACCAATTGAATGAATTAGAGGGCAACCGATTGCGTGAACTATTATCGGCTGCGACTGTATTCAGCGAAACGTGTATATGGCGTACGAGTGGTGAGGTTTGTTATCTAGATATTTATTCGGTAATGGCACCTAGGTTTGAAAGTCATTTGAGAAAAATGATAGTCATGTGCAAGGGACTAAGACATTTCCAAAGTTTGTGCGAAAATGATAGAATCTCGCTCATAAAGTACGGCTGTATAGAGGTCTACAATATTCGGTCAATGAATTATTATAATTGTGAACGTAATTATTGGACACTTAAAAGGGTATAGTACAGTATTTGCACTACATTGGTCATGATTAAATAATTTGTATAAATGTCATTTGTATTTTTGTACGTTATTTGTGAAATTACTTTTTCAGTGCTATTTAATTTCAATTAATAACTATTTTATTTTATTAGGAAAATAATAGCTCGGTTAAATTAAATTTGGAAATAATGCAATATTCGCGAAGAAATATCTACTATTTATTCAAATTATTTTTATACAAATTCTTTATAGACTGCAACAATGATGAAATAATTATTGATTTGGTAAATTTAATTTCACATAAATAATGTCTTTTAATATTCTATAATATAATTTTTATTGCAGCTAACAGCAATTATTTTGTTTAATCCCAATCGACCTAATCTCACACATAGAAATGCTGTAAAGTAAGTCAGCTAAATGCTATTTTTAATTTATTAAGTAAGGTTACCACGTTCACTAATTCAACAGATTGCAACAGCAACAATACGTGCATTTGTTGAGACGTTATTTATTACTGAAATATCGGGATGAAAGTGAATCGTGCGACAAATGTATGAGACTATTGACAAGTTTATACGATTTACACGCGTTATCACTGAATAAGTTCAAGAATTGTTTGGAAACGGATCCCAGAATAGCGGCTCCCTATCCGGTGACCCGAGAGGTTTTTGACATACCAGCCCTTGGCGAATAAAATATCCTTGATAATAATGAATTCAAATAATTTTTAAAACAAAATTTGTAAAAGAAAACGATAGCTCTGTATGTAATTTATATAGTATAACTATATAATTTTATATTATATAATTATATTTTACAGTTTATACATATAGTTTCATAACCTATGCTACTAAATTTTTACATTTATGTATTATAGTTATTTTGCTATTATAGCTCATATTAATTTTAGTTAATTAACAATTTTAATTATCATTAGTATGGTGAAATATTGAGAAATATAATACAAATAATAATATAAACTTAGATCAATTTCAAGTAAGATAAATCTATTAAATAATTTATATAATTTACAATGACCATTTTATTACTAGTGCCGTATTATATAATGTTTCGAAAAGAATAAAAATTATCAGATAACATAAATATTATTAATTGTTTATTTTAAATTTTTATTTAAAGATTATAATATATAATATATATCTTTATAAAACAACAATAATAATTTTTAGAAATAAGCATGCTAACCAAATAGAAATAAATAATTCAGTCAAAAATACAAATGTTGAAATCAACCAACCAAGAATAAGTGCAATAAAAACAGTATAAAAGTTATTAATTTTTAACCTAGTTAATATAATCTCATCGGTGAACCTGTAAAATTTTAGCTTGTTAATCCAAAACTCAATTAGTCCAGCGCATTTAATTTGGGATAATCTATAGAAACATGATAGTCAAATTATTAATAAATATATTTCCATATTTTACATCAAATAAATACATCTTGTTGAATTATTGTTTTAATGGGAAATTATTTCGCAAAGCTATTGAATAAAATGTATTTGTAAACTGACTGTCCAGGCTATCCGATGGTAATCTGTAGCTAGATAATTTATAATAATAAATAGCGTATTCTAGATATCGTCTGCTCGCTAAGTACGAATATGTGCTAGCTTCATTTGGTGAATATTTGTCACTCTTAATCATATGATTTAACATGGACATGTTGACGATATGAGTAAAATATTTATCATCAAGATTAAAATTATTATTCTGCAAATAAATTTTTTTAAATGGCTTATGAATATAATCTACTTAATTTTAAAGTAAATATTACCTTTAACCAATTGTAATATTGCGAACTTTTGATCGTAAATACTTTAATATCTTTATTAATAATGGCTTTATAGAAATCTACCTTGGTGGATATTGAATATTGTTTAGGAAGTGTTATTAGTGAATAAATACAACCGCATGTAAACGTATTTAATATAATACATGCTAGTAACCAGGCACCAATGATAAATTTAATTGAGTATGCAGTGCGATTATTAATTGATATAGGTTGTTTTAAAAACATTGCTAGTATGTAAATGTGATTAAGACAAATTTTCTTTGTAAAAATATTACTATTAAATGTTTTAACTAATAAGTAAAATGCGGTTATGGATATAAACAATAGTATCCAGGTAATTGAATCAAATATTCCAAATAGATTAAATAAGTATTCATATTTTGGTACCGGGGTGGTAAACGTATATTTATCAATCATATACGGATACACGAAATCAATTGCCTTTTGTCGTTCATAGGTCATTGCCAGCGCACTAAGTCCAATATCAGCTTGCTAAAATAAAATACAAGTTAGATTTGTAATAATTAATATAATATATTATTGTATTTACATTTCTCTGTAGTAACCCCAGTAACCCGGTCCAATTTCCATTAGATAGTTTATATCCCCATTGGTAATTGCTGTCAATTATGTCGTAGGTGAAATTTAAAACATTTTGAAATATTTTTATCATATTCACTTCAATGCCGTTTTGAAAATAAATATTATTGTTCGTACAATTAAATGATACAAATGATGGTACCTAGATACCAAATAAAAATAGGTATATATTTTTTAAATATTTACTAAGATTTCAAATCAAGTACATAGTTAGCGGCGATTATAAAATGTTGATTATTATTTTCCATGATGATTTTTAGATTTTCTTAAAATGTTATAATTAATAAATTAAAGCAGTTATAAATATAACGTAGATAAACTATTATATATAAATTAAAGTTTATCAATTTCACTATTTATTAATATCCAGTTATTAAAACTTTTGTGTGTTACATAAAATATAAATTAAGTATAAACATTTTAAACATTAAATATGAGCTTTATGAAACCAGATTTTTATTTAATTATTAATAAATATTTTTTGATGAATATAAATATTGATTGAATAATTGAATTCTCAATCAAATTATTAATGGTATATAAAAATAGCTAGCGCCTATCTGGTTCCCTAAAACACATATTAATTATATATAAACCTTATAAACATATTTCTACTTTGTCAAATAAAGTTTAAGTGTCATAAGTACTATTCAAAGTGCATTCAATGATAAAAATAAATTTTTATATACAAAATAAAATAAATTATTATTCACAAATTATATTCATTTAAATAAAGAATAGTAATTATATTTTTAATGAATAAATTGTATGAATAAATAATAATTTGCATGAATTAAATTTTGTTTAGAAAATGTCACTCCATAAATCAATAATTATAAAAAATAAAAGGCAATTAGTTTCATCTAGTCAATAAAAGATTTAATTTATAATATAATTGTATAGACGAATTGTATATCATTTCACAATAATACTACTGAATACTTTTTTTTAAATTAATATATACTTAATTTTAATTTATCTCTAAAAAAATATATTGATAAAATTATTAAAAATAATTGTTAATAATTTTTAAAATTAAAAGTAAAACTAATTTAATTATTTTTAAAAACAATAAACACTTTTTTGTACAATTTTCATAGATAACTTAATAATCAATTAAAAAATTAATGCATAATAACACTAAACACACTATTTTATCTAAATAATCAAGTTAATTTATTATAAAATTTATTAAATGTTAATAATACAGTACATAGTTATAATAATTGACTTAATAATTAAAAAAAACAATTCATCAATCACATTTTACAAAATATTCCTACATTATAACTACTAAATTGATAAATAAATGCCTATAAGCAGATAAAACTGATTTTGTTTTTCACAAATAAAGACAAAATATTACATTTTTAAAATAAAACAAAATACTTATAAATAGAAAACTACTAAAAGTTTGTTCGCGCCGTTAGTCTCGTCCGAAGGAACGGTACGAATGAGAAGAGAGTGATATTCAAAAGGGCCGGCGATTCAGTCCTTTCCAATCGGGACGTCATATAATACTTTAGTAATCGGAACTATATTTGAAAATAAAAAATGTTTTAACCATTTATTCATTGATTGACAAATAGGCCAAGATAAAATGTTATCAATTATTTTATGGCATTAATATGCATATTAATTTTTAATTATAGTTCATAATTTAAGCATGTAACAATTTAATTATAAAAATTATCTAAAATTATCAATATACAATATTTTGATAATATTGATATAAAGTATATATTTTAAAATTATTTTTTTAAACTCACGGAATGGTAGAGATATGGCTCCAAAATATGGTCAAACTTGGAGAACATGTCACACAAATAGATGGGACAACACCTCGACTCTACATTCACGGCCAGTATCTGTCCGATGGTCACCACAATTAAGCCAAACTTGAGGACCACTACCAATATGTCAGCCGATATACACCTAACCATTTCCCGGAGCACGTGCTCCTCAACACCCGTCCCATTAGCTTTGCTATCCAAGCTATTTGTGAGGGACAGTAGGTTATAGTCCATGATTTGAAAGGTTATGCGAAATAAATCGGTGAATACGCCGACGATTATTACGACGAAAAATACGGTCATAACTATATTGAAGGCACTGTTGGTGCGTATGATTAGCCGGGCGTTGGTTTTGAATAACCGCTTGATTTCGCGTAATTGATTTAATTGTGGCACCGATTCCGGGGTAGAGGTGTACACCATTTGCTTGATGAACTCATTTAGTTGTCGGTATTTGTCGTGAATTGCCTTTAAAAATAAGAAATAAGACCAGGGTCAGTGAAATATAAAAAGTTAATTTACTATTAATTTTGTCAATTCATAATGTTTGGAGTTTTATCAATTTAATTAGTTATATAATAATTATCGAGATGAAATTATGATTAAATTTTAAAATACAGTTTTCTAAAATTATTATAAATTTTTTCATAAACTTGCTTATTATCTATACAAATATTTGTTTTAAAAATTACTTATAATAAAAGTATTAATAAAATTAATATTATAAATTTCAAAATGATCAATAATTGATATAATGTTCTATGATGAATAGTTGGAATTGCCAACATTAAATAATTATTATTCACTCATTTATATGAAATCAATCTTTAAATTTAACTTTCAGTTTAAGGAATTATTTTTAAATCGACAATTTTGAACAATGTAATTAAAAATTAATTAAAATTTTTGTAACTTTCCATAATAATCTATGACGTACCATTCCAAATGTTATGTACACAGGTATTAGCAAGGTGTTTATAACTCTATGAGGCATTCCCGATAAATATTCCAAAATTGTATCGCTAGTATAACCTTGCTTACGTCTCCAATCAAACGTTAAATAACCAACAAGGTGAATTGAAATACACATCAAGCTTACCACGACAACCTTAATTGAGACACTAACAGGGTTAAATTGTCGCTTAGTATTAGTGGCTAATAAATAGTCCAACTCCTGTATAACGTCCCTGATCAAAAAACCTTTAATCCAGAATAAATCCACGGCTAATATAATCGGGATAAACTGTAAAAACAGTAATAGTATGTCAAAAATATTATCAGGAAACTTTCCCTGGATAAATAGATTTTTCAATATTTCACCAATACTATAAAATAGCCACCCGTTTGCAGCAAGCATAATTAAAAATGAAAACACATTCACTGGTAGTAGTAATAAATTATCAAGCGAAAATAGCGCTTTAAACCATTTCAATGTAGTGTCTATAGGTGGTGAATTATCATGGTTATTAAGGGTGTTAGTCGTGTTACCCGTAAATACAGCGCTAAATACCGGTGCCCCGGCTAAAGCAAATGGTGACATAACCACGGCTAACGTGTTTCGCCAAAATTTTTGGTGAACTATAATATCCAGGACAGTTGCTGACTGTGAGGTCCATTTAGGTGCCATTTCCAGGACTACCTGTCCCGA